GATAAGTTTGGCATGGCTGAGGCTAAACCAGTTTCCTCCCCAATGGCTACAACTCCTCTTCAATTGCACCAAGGGCTCAAACTCTCAGATCCTTCTCCATACCGGCGTCTTATTGGCTCCTTGCAATATCTTAATCTCACAAGACCAGACATTACTTTTGCAGTTAATCGTCTTTCTCAGTTTCTCCATGCCCCTTTTGATGTCCATATGCAAGCTGCCAAGCGTGTTCTTCGCTATCTCAAGGGCTCTGTTTTTCATGGTCTTCTTCTGCACCGGCAGCCTCTGTCCCCTCTCCATGCCTTTTCCGACTCTAACTGGGCCGGTGACAAGGATACCCTTCGGTCAACCACTGGCTATATTGTGTTCTTGGGTAGCAATCCGATCTCTTGGAAGGCTTGTAAACAAAAAACGGTTGCCCACAGCTCAACAGAGGCCGAGTACCGTGCTCTAGCTGTTGTATCCTCTGAAGTTATGTGGGTTTGCCATCTTCTTCGTGAATTGGGGCATCTTGTTTCTTCTCCTCCGGCAGTGTGCTGTGACAATGTTGATGCTACTCATCTTAGTAGCAATCCAGTCATGCACACTCGTATGAAACATATTGCCATTGATCTTCATTTTGTCCGTGAGTTGGTGGATCGGAAGCTTCTACAGGTCAGTCACATCTCTACTGTTGATCAGCTAGCTGATGGTTTTACTAAGCCTTTATCCTCGTGGCAATTCTCTCAGCTAAAATCCAAGATTGGCGTTACCGATGGTAGCTCCATCTTGCGGGGGCGTGTTATGGAAACAAATCCTGTCAACACAGCTCGTGAATCTGCCTCATGAATCTGCACTAATTACAGCAAATATAATCAGCATTATATGCAAGATATCAATCACACTTATTTGTATATATTTTCTATTATTGTATATCTTTAATTTCCATAAATAACTGCAGACCTTGTGTATATAGGATACTCAATTCTGTGAATAAAATTTATCAGTTTCATTCTCAAGTTTCTGTCTTTATAGCCAATGTCTCAGTGGACCAAAGGATGCAAACACAGTCACGGGAGCTTGCTCACCTCGAAATAAATTTCGATGAATTCCAGCTGAACTAACAAAAAGGTAACTATGGTTGAATTTTTATTTGCTCTAATTAATACCACTGTTAGAAACTTACCGTTTCGGTTTTTGCAGCAGAGAACAAAAATGAAATGCAGAATATCCTCAACTGGAAGGGCATCCCCACCATCAGTCAAGCTATTGCAATGTACCCAATATTCCATGTTTTTATCTTAGGTGTCATCTATTTTGTTGGAGTTGTGATGTCAAAGCTGCAATGGTTGGCAGCAAATGAAATGAAGTGAGAGCTACACAGACAGTAGAAGCTAAGTGATAGCCACATGGAGTTGCACGAGATGGCAGCAAATCTGTTGAATGTAATCTTGCTTTAAATGTTTGATAGATTTTCTTGTATTAGGGAAATATATTAGGTGAGAAAAATACTATTTTATGTTGTATTGTTTCTGCTATAAATAGCAGAACATCAACGGAAGAAAATTGAGTTTTCACCTCACCAAAAGAGGGAACTCCAGGTGTCTCTCCTTCTCCTCCAAGTCCTCTCTCCACCCTTTTTTACCCCAAAAACCCCAACCTGGTATCAGAGCTTCAATGATCTTGAGGGGCCTCTTAGAGTGATTTTGAGAGAATACTCAAAAAAAAAAGAAAAAAAGAAAAAAAAAGGAGAACCAGAAAAAATTACCTTTCTAGAGGGATTCCAGTAGGTTTTGTTGTGAAATCCCTCATTCATTTTTGGCCAAACTACTCAGCAAGTGACGAAGGCATATGGTAGGCCACTATAGCTCAAGATCAAGCATAGTAAGGAGATGGTGTGGAGAGGCAAGCTGGACCAACAAAGAGACGGTGTTCATGGATTCCACAGACAGCAGTCCAAAGGGAAAAAGAATGTCCAGTGAAGGTGCAGCCTGAGAAAGGAGGAAAACTCAAAGAATGCATCAAGTATTGTTCACCATAAAGTTAAATTCGACCTGTGACCCCAAGGAAGCTGTAGATGAAAATGGAAAAGAAAGAAAACTGAGCAACTTAGGGAAACTTTTCAGCAAAGCTCCAGAATTTTGTTAAAAGCTGAAAATCTTAGCGAGATGAAGCTGCAGCATTGAAGGAGGAGCTGCTGTGCTAAGGAAGGTGGCCTTAGCATCAACAACAACACAAAATCAAAGCAAACAGTATTACAAATGGCTGATTTCAAAATGCTAAGGTAAATTTCTTGTTTCCCCAGCTTTAACCCCATGGAGGAGTGTTGGAGTTGTGATGTCAAAGTCGCAATAGTTGGCAGCAAATGAAATGAAGTGAGAGCTGCACAGACAGTAGAAGCAAAGTGATAGCCACACGGAGTTGCACAACATGGCAGCAAATCTGTTGAATGTAATCTTGCTTTAAATGTTTGGTAGATTTTCTTGCATTAGGTAAATATATTAGGTGAGAGAAAAAACTACTGAATGTTGTATTGTTTCTGCTACAAATAGCAGAACATCAATGGAAGAAATTTGAGTTTTCACCTCACCAAAAGAGGGAACTCCGGTTGTCTCTCCTTTTCTTCCAAGTCCTCTCTCCACCCTTTCCCAAAAAACCCCAACACATTTCCAGTCTCTTTGTTTTTAGATCTAGGTGCCTTCTGATTTGTTGTAAGAATTCTTAAATTCATATCTAAGAATCTCAAAAAATTAAGGGGTCCTCTTGAAGGTATATATTTCAAGAGTATGGTTCAAATAGTGTATTGACTTTTATTAAGTCATCCAATCAATTGAGTTAAAAAGTATTATTTACAAGGAATATCCCTATTATATTTTAGGTTTGTATCTTCTTGTTTTACTTCTATGGATACCTGGTTAATTAGTGTCAGTTCCTGGTGATAAAATGGTGTCCAGCTCTGTCAGGAAACATTTGGCTTCTGTATGTGCTTGTACTTGTTCAACTCTTTGGAAAAATGGGTGTGCAGCTTTATAAGAAGGAAAGAAACTTGATGTTTCTGGCAATGGCAAATGAGTGGGAACTGAACAATATCAAGAAGACTCTGATTTCTACAAAAGGGCAAAATAATGAGAAAAAATGGTGTAAGCCAGACATGGGGTATTTGAAGATTAAAGTTAAGCATCAGAGTCTACTGGGGATTATGGTGATGTGGTAAGAAGGGACTGTCATGGTAACCTGGTTAATAGATGGGAAACGTGGAAATGAGAATGCTAGCACAACATTAATGACTGGGGCAATTGCTTTGGAGCATGGAATACTGTTAGCTGCAAGGAAAGCATATGTTATTTCCAATTTTGATAGAAATGGAAGGATATTGTGACAAACTGACGACCAAAAAATACAAAATCACTAGAATTTGCATGAACTGGGTCATGTTTTGGGCCTAGGCCATTCCTCCGTTTGTGAATCTGTAACGTTTCCAAGCATTTGGCCCGGAATTACGAAAGGGGCTGAGCCCAGATGATATTCGAGGATTAACAGACAACAGAGTGCTAGCCCGCCACGTACATTTCTTTGCTGCCTCAAGACTAGTTGCCTTGTAAATTCAGTTTATTTGGACCTGGTCCACAGCTATTCTTCTCATTGATCCTATGTTTTCAACATATGCTCACTTGCAACGTCAATATCTGTACAGAGGAAGCTTCACAACTTAAGGCTTAAGCTCACACTAGCCGATCATCAGGGCTTTCCACCTAGAAGAATAATTAATCAGCCATCTCTGAGCTAATCTTCTCAACTTATAAGTACTGCATTCAAATTTTGAGAATGATGGAATGAAATTGCGGGAAACTCATCAGCTGGTATTATATTATTATGTAATCGTTACGCGTTAGAATCGCCGCAATGGATTTGACAGCGTAAAGATGGAGAGATCGACTACTGCTTGAATGGTTTATCCCTATCTGTGTAATTATTTTGCACATATACTCTAATTCAATTTCTAAGGCATTACGCACTACCAAAGTAATTTAGTAGTTGTACAATGATAGTCTTCTCGTTTAAACTTATAGGATGGCAAAAAATCATTTAAACTAAAATTATTTAAGAAATTAATTAGAGTATCTTTAATTTGAAGAAAATGGTATGGAAGATTATAAATTTTTTAATTAAATAAATTAAAAAATTTTAAATATTAAAATTTAATTAATAAAAAAATCCATTTGTTACCCTGCTCTTAAAATCAAACATATCTTTAAGCATTAATCTAAATAAAAATAAATTAAATTAATTGGGTAAAATTTTTTATCTATGCAACCTAGCGGGTAGAATTCTCTTGTCCATGCTTTGGTCCATACGTAGAGGGTAAAAATTGCGGGGAGCCATCGGGTAGAGTAAAATTACGATCCCTATTTAGATTATATGCAAAAATTGCCCTTTTTGAGAAAATGCCCCGTTTTTTTTTTACTATAAAAAACTCAAAATGCCCATTTTATTGTTTTTTGACCTCCTAATAATCAGCATTTCACCTTAATTTAATAAAAGTTTCAAGTTTGATGGCACAAAAAGAAGGAAGTTTCTTTCTTTCTTTTTTTTTGGGGGGGTGGAGTTAGTTGACTACCCCTCAATTTCCTTTATTTAAGATTAGAGAAATTGACCATTTCGTATGAATTATGGGCATATTTGAGATTTAACCCTTATTAAAAATAAAAAGAAATAATTTGTAAAATAAAAAAAAAAATACTAATAATCGAACGATTCGCGGTGGGTGAAGAAAAGTCATTGTAAAGCGAGGATCGACCGAGAGCCAGTCGGTCACTTCAGGACAAAAGAGTCTGCTATAAACCACGCTTTATTCAAACCCTAGCCTCACTTTCTTCCTTACCCATCTTTCCCATCTCTGGTTCAAGCGCAATAATGTTAGAGTCATTTCACAGAAAATAATTTATGGATCCCAACTACGGAGGCGGTCTGGATGAACAAAACTGGCAATTTTCTGTTGAAGACTGTAAGTATTTATCGTCGATCTCATTAACCATAGTTTTCTTTAAACCTTACGATTGATTATAATTAACAAATTTAATAATTATTTTTTATTTAATTATTTGCAGTTGAATCCCTCTATGAGCCACCTCAGATCCCAGATTCATGTGATCCTTGCGATTCGTTGAATGCTTCTCACTTTCAATCTGGGGATCTCGGCAGTCAGTCCGTAACCGGAACAGAACTCCCGGGTACGCCTCAAGGTTTTTGACTGCATTGAAAAAGATTGGTTAAATTTCACTAAAAAAAAAAAAAAAGATTGGTTAAAAGGCGCGCTAAAGTCTTTAAACGTTTATGGAGACCCCTTTTGATCCCTCAACTTTATTTGGCTCTATTTTGACCCTCAGATTATTTTTTTACAGCTCCATTTTAGTCCCTATGTGAGTTAAATGCTTTTTTGACGCATTCTTTTATAAAAATTTCATCATCTTTAAATTTGAAAATCTTGCATCTTTTGTTATGTGCTATAAACTTTATATGAATAAATAGATCCCTTCATAAGCTTTATTTTGATTAATTACATGCTTAAAACAGTTAAGAAAGAAGGAGGTATCAAGCTAGAAATTCTATAGGTTTTTAATTGTAGGGTTCTGTTGTAAGGTTGTAGATGATAAAAGGATTAATTGGGAAATATTCCTCAAATGAGTAAGTGGATCCCACCCTGGGTGACGTAAAATGTATAATGAGAGGGTAATAGTTTCAAAGACAAATAGTTAGAGGGGTTCTATGGAGTTAGGCCAAATATAATTTATGGATCCCAACTACGGAGGCTGTCAGGATGAGCAAAACATGCAATTTTTTTTGTTGAAGGCTGCAAGAATTTAGTGTCAATCTCATTAACTACAGCTTTATTTAAAGCTTACGGTTGATTATAATGAACAAAGTTGATTTTATTTAGGTGGCCCTTGCATTTAATATAGTCCAACCCGATGCGCCACAAGGTTTTGAGGTTAATTCTTTTATCCGACTGCCAAAAGAGAAGGCTCATTTTTTGATCTTTTGCTTATTTGCAGGCTTCCCACAAGGCCCTATTTCAGGGTATGATCCAGATTTATCTGAATTCTTGGATCCGGCTGGAATAAATCAAGACAATCAGGCTATAGCAGGAAGACCACAGCCCGATCTGCCACAAGGTTTTGATTACATTGAAAAAGGCTTTGAGGTTAATTTCCTGATATGGAGGCTAAAAGAAAAAGTAGTTTTATTTTTTATTTTATTTTATCTTTTTGCTTAATTTGAAGGTTAATCTGAAAATTTTAATGAATTGAATTGCTTGAATGGGTTTCAATTCGGAGAATTCGGCAATCAGGCAATAGAACAACTGGATGCACCACAAGGCATTTTACCATACTGAAAATTGTTTTGAAGTTAATTTTTATCTGACTGCCAAAAGTGAAGGCTGATGCACTGATCTTTTGCTCATTTGTAATACAAACCGAAGTCCCTCCAACTGCGAGGAATGCTTATGATCTTTATAAGGTCAATGAAGAACTCGTAGAATTGGGAAGAGGTTTTGATTGCACGTTGAAAAAGTTTTTTGAAATTATTTCCTGATATGACGGTCAAAAGAAAAGGTTGATATTTTCATCTTTTGCTTGCTTACAGCACGTGGGCGTTCGAATTGTGGGTTAGAAGGGGGGGATCAACTTATGGGAATAGTGAATGGAATTCAGCCACGGATATCTCATCCACATGTAGGTCAACCTGAAGGCAGTCAGGCTGCAGTTAGGGGTCAGGACCAGCTTGCCCAAAAACAAGAGAGAAAACGAGAGGTCGATAGAGAATACAGGGAAAGAAAAAAGGTAAATAAATATCTTTATCATTTCAATTGTACTTTCTGATTATGGTCTTGAATTACATTAATAATTTTATATATGGAATGCCTAGGCAAAGGCACAGCAACTTGAGGTTGAAAACCAGCAATTGAAAGCCAAAGTGACAGAACTTTCGTTTCAAAATAACCGTCTGGAAATGATGATCTCACGGCTTCAAGGAGATAACCATTCGGTGAATAATCGATTGGAAACTCAGTCAAAGACACTAGATTGGGTTCAAGCTAATTTGGAGTTTATAAATCAACTAACTGTAAGTTTTCCTCTTGCTGAAAATTTTGATTTTGCTGTGATACCAACATTAGAAAACTCAGTATTCCAATTTCACAGGTTTTTGCATCAAACCCTCTTTTCTCCATGCTCTTACTAGATTTTATTATTACTTTTTTGGGTAAATCTTACTAGATTTTATTTACAATTTGTAATGTTGATTTTGTTACATTGACTGCTTTACAATGGACATAAACTTTATCTTTTACAAATTGTTTCACGTACTCTATCCCAGACTTGAACATCTGAGATTTTAAGTTGGATGCATTTCCCTTTTCCAAACTCTTATCTCGCCATTCTGAAGCTTAAATCTAGAAAGCTTTGACAGTTGATACATTATTTAACCACATTAAAAAATATATATTTATAATATATCTTCTTGTCCTTGCGCTTGTTCAGACGCAATATTTGGGCGTGACTGGGGTTGTAGATCAACAACAAATGTCTATTACTAATATGCAACCACTTCTGACCAAAATGCAACTGCTACTGGCTGGACTTCAAAATATAACTCAACCTTCAGGCGCACCCGTTTATGCACAGCCATGGCAGTCGCAACACAATATATCGATAAGTCAAGTCTCTCGGGCTGCTACAACAACACTACCACTGACTCAGCCAGATGGCACAAGTAGAATGCTGCAAACACTTCAATCTCCGGGAACATCTCATGGATTACCAGATATCTCGCCGCTGGAACAATTAGCCCAAACTGCACATGCACAAACAAACGATGTGTCACCAGTGTTCAGTTTACACCAGGGCCAAGGCAGAAACGCATCAGTCGAATCACAGCCATTCACGCAGGGACTATCAGATCAAGATTCTAAACTGGAAAAAGCTTCATCATACTTGCGTCGAAGAAGACGAAAGTGTGTGGGCAGGTTGGAGGCCCATGGAAACTTTGTGGATAAACAGAGAGTATATAGGATTGGTTCGCTGGGAACTAAATGTTATATGGAAGAGCAAACTATTACCTCTCCTTTTACTAAAGGACACCCTGCAATTGCTGCATCACTTGTGGCTGAAAATGATCCATTAAAGCCTGAAATTCAAGAAAAACAAGAGCTATGTCACGAGGACCAGCAGATGAAGTCCAATATAGAGGCATTTGAGGCTGAAAATGAGAGATTGAAGCTTGAAATAGATGAAAAGAAGCAGCAAATGGAGTCCAATCTGAAGGCATTTGAGTCTCAAATTAGACAGCTGGTCGATGAATTCGAATCTCTAAATGTAGCCAATGTCTCAGTGAATATAAGGACGCAAACTCAGTCAGGGGAAGCCAGCTCACCCTTGAAATAAATTTTGATAAATTCAAGCTGAACTAACAAAAAGGTAACCGTGCCTGAATTTTTATTTGCTCTAATTCCACTGTTTGAAACTCACCGTTTTGTTTTTTTGCAGCAGAGAACAAAAAGGAAATGCAGAATATCCTCAACTTGAGAGTTCAGGGCTCTCTCCAGTCTCCACCATCAGTCAAACTATTGCAACAGCCCCAGTTCTGAAGATTGTTCCATGTTTTTATCTCAGTTTTTATTCATTTCCAGTCTCGTCTCTGTTTTTAGATCTAGGTGCCTTCTGGTTTGTTGTAAGAACTCTTAAATCGTATTTAAGAGTCTTAAGAAATCTAAGGGGTCCTCCTGAAGGTCTGTTTCAAGAGTATAGTTTAAATAGTGTCTTGTCTTGTCTTGTCTTGTATTAATTAAGCCAATCAATTGCGTTAAAAGGTAATATTTACAAGGAATTGCCTATCATATTTTAGGCCTGTATCTCCTTGTTTTACTTCTATGGATACCTGGTTAAGTAGTGTCAGTTCTTGGTGATAAAATGGTATCCACGGGTCTGTTAGGAAACATTTGGCTCCTGTACGTGCTTATATTTTTTCAACCATTTGATAAAATGGGTGGGCAGGTGCAGCTTTATATGAAGGAAAGAAACTAGATGTTCCTGGTAATGGCAAATGAGTGGGAACTGAATAATAACAAGAACAAGAGGTATAAACTAGACATGGGGTATTTGAAGATTAGTGTTCATCACCATACTTTATTGGGGGTTATGGTGACGTGGTAAGGGACTGTCCTGGTAACCTGATTAATCGATGAGGAACATGGAAATGAGAATGCTAGCACCGCATTAATGACTGAAGCAATTGCTTGGGAGTCTTGCATACGGTTAGCTGCAAGGAGAGCATATGTTATTTCCATTTTTGATATATGGGAAATGGAAGGATATTATCACAACTAAGAGTGAGCAATTTTTAGGTACAAGTTGCATATGAGTTATATTTAATACTTAATTTGAAAATTTTTATATATAGTTTTTTCGACTTAGTATTTGCTCATATATTTAAAAATTTATACTTAGTATCTAATCTAATAAGTATCAGTTAACTTATGGGTATATGCTTGTGTGTTTGGTTTAGGAAACGAAAAGGTGTTGCACGAGTTACTATCGTTGCATGTGTTATGTGTTTGTTTTAAAATTTATTATTTATACGAGTTATTATTATACTATATTTGTAATTTATTTGGTTTATTGGCCTTATTTAACTTTTATTTTTATTTTTATATTTTATTATATTTATTTTTAAAAATTATTGTTATTATATTGATATTAAGTATAATAAATATAGATAAAATTTTAATTATATAAACACAAATAACATATCAATTGAATGAATTAATTAAATGAGTTAAATAAACAATTCTAAATCTTTATATTTGTTATTTAACTCAATATTTATAAATATAATATTCTCATACCCGTTATTTATCTAATTTTTTTATAATTAAGATATAATTTTTACCTAAATAAATAAAATGCTTACAAATAATAAATATAAAAGTGCCCTAGAACAACCAAGAAAGACGAAGTCACTGGAATTTGCACGAACTGGGCCATGTTTTGGGCCTGGGCGATTCCTTTGTTTGGGAAACTGCAACGTTTCCAAGTATTAGACCCAGAATTACCGGTATATGTTTGTGTGCTCGGTTTAGGAAAAGAAGAGGTGTTGCATGAGTTATTGTTGCTGTATTTATTATGTGTTTG